AATTTATAAATTCTACTAAACCACTGGAAAGTTTCGTGGTTTGATTTTTTTTTTTAAATGGAATCCATTAAACTATTGAAAATTTTCATAAATTATTTTTTCAAAAAAATAAAAATAAAAGCAAAAATAAAAATCATTTTTATTCTCCAAACGATTGGATGATTGATTTTTAAATTAAGCCTTACTAAATTATTGGGAGACTTAATAAAATTTTTGAAAATTTTTGTGAAACTTTTTGCAATAAAATCTCATCAAACTATTGGAAGATCTGCTATAAAGTAAGTCTTATCAAACTATTGGGAGATTTTACTAATTTTTTTTAATAAAAAAATTAATAAATTTGATGATTAAGTCTTTTTAAGGTGGGACACTAATCTTCATAAATACTCTTGAGGTAAGAGAATTATCTTAAATTGCTATCAAATTATTTGGATAATTTTAAGAATAATTTTTAATATTTAATATTTTGGTAAAAACATAAACATTTTTTAAGGCTTGAATAATTTGAAATCAAACTAGTACCATCTTTGGATGGGTGCTATTAGGGTATTATAACTTTTTTCACGAGTAATCATACTCCCGAACCTAAATATGATTTTGTGGATAAGATTTAATTACGTGATCAATCACACATAAATAAAAAAGATCAATGGTGATTCTTCTGATTCATGTCTAACGGTAAGTTCGTGAATTTATACGTTATGACACTCGTGATTCAATTATTGTGACAACAATTGCTATGAAGATTCATGCTATTCGGTATTGGTTCAAGATTTTTTTTGAAGAACTTGATTTAAGAGAGGCAATGTTAGAATTAAAACGAATTTTATATTTTATTATTGTTATTTACCTTAGTTATTATGCTTAATACCTTATTAACAGTAATCTTATTGGTGGGTTTTTGAGGTTTTCAAGTTTTAGTATAAATATTATAAAAAATTATTAAATATATTAAAAGTAAAATTTTTAAATTTCATAAATAGATTTAATACAATGATACATATTTTTTAAGATATATTTAAAAAATAAAAAATTAATTAAAAATAAAAAATATAAATTTTTAATCTCAGTTATCAAATTAAAAATTTATACAAATTGTATATGAAATATTAACTAAAATATTATTCATGTAGAGTATGTAAAAAATTGTGAGGCTCAAAGCTATTAAGATTATGCTTGGTATAGCTGAAAAGTGAAAGATACAACTGGGTAGATGAAAAAGTGAAAGAAAAATAACTTTTAGATGTGCATGATAAGAAAAAAAAATTGAAAGAAGAGAACATAGAAAAATTTATCATTTTTCATATTCAAGAATAAAAACAAATCACTTTAAATTAAAAAAAAAAAAAGGGAAAAGGTGTGGGCATATATTATATATTTACAAAATCATCCATCATATTTTATTTTTTTTATCGTAATTTACAAAATATTATAGTAATAAAATTATTTAATCTTTACATTCTTTCTTTTAATTTTTCAGCTCTACTAAGCAATAGATAGACATTTTCTTTCAATTTTTTAATCTTTACAATCAAGCACATTAACTAAATATCTTTTTCAATTTTTTACATTTTTCTCTTCTAATTTTTTATTTTTTCAATTTTCATTTCATCCTATCAAGCAAAATCCAAACGTGACCTTCCGCAAGTTTTTTTAGAGATGTTTGTTGAACTCACTTTGTTCCAAAGGTTACTACTCCAACGAATCACACAGTAATATAAATGCTGCGGTTGTTCAGACTGCATTGTAACCACGCGTCGCTCCTTTGTTTTTATTTTTCTTTTACCTTTTTTTTATTATTAAATTAATTATATTCTTTCAAGTGAGGTCCATCACTTTTTTGGAACCCGTTTTTTTGTTTTGTTTTTCGTTTTATTTACTTTTTATATTTTATATTTTTTAATTTTTTAATATATAATATTATAAAATTATTTTTTTGGGTTTCTATCTTTTTGAATGATAAAACTTATTTTTTTCCTTGATAAGTACTTTTGACTATTTTATATTTTACATTTTTATATATTTATTATTTTAAAAAAATTTTGGTGAGACATATTACTTTTGTTTTTCATAAGGTTCTTTTTTTTATTTTTTATATATTTTATTTTTTTTGTTTCGATAGTGACTATGATTTTTTATATACTCATTTTTTATTTCAGATTCTTTTTTTTGACCTTTTTGGGCCTTTATATGAGTTTTTTTTTATTATTTATGTATATTTTATGTTTTGTTGTAATGGAGTCAACGATATTTTATAGACCCATTTTTAATATTTATTTCAATTTTTTTATAATTTATATTTTTTAAATGTATACCTATTTTTTATTATATTTTTTGCACTCGTTTTTATCTTTTTTTTTTTGAAAATTTTTTATTTGGTGTTTGGTGTTTTAATTTTTTTACTTATTTAATATTTAATAATTTTTATTTTTTTGTTTAAGTCCAATTGATACCATTTTAATAAATTTTTTTGTTTAAAAAACTTAATCTTTTATTTTTTTTGTTAAACTTACTTGATACTAAAAGTATGTTACATATTAAACTAATTAACTTCTTAATAAACTTGATTAACTTCTAAGACAAACTCTACACAAAAAAAAATTATCTAAAAAAATTATTAATAAAAAAGAAAAGTAAATTAAAGAAAAAGTAAACTAAAATAAAAATAAAAGATATAAATCCATGATATAAATTTTGTAAAGAAAATTCATCATCGCTAATGTTGTGTAGTAACTCGATTTTCTTTCTTTTCCTTTTTCTTCTTCTATTTTTACTTCTCGTAATTTTTTTGCTTCCTTTCATTTATTTTTGCTTTTTGATTAGATAATTTTTTGAAAAAAAATCAATGAATGTGTAAAAGTAGCATTCTATTTCATTTTTTTGCTTTTTCATTTGTTTTAATCAAATAATTAACAACCAAAAAAATCAATAAATTTTAAAACAAAAAATCAATTGAGATATGCTCAACAAAATAATTCATATCTAATTAATTTTAATTAATCCAAATCTAATTTTGTGCATTTGTTTATCTGAGATCGAATCGAAACTTTTTTCAAAAGATTGAAGTCGAGTCAAAAGTAAGTTTATATTATTATGTGTTGTCTTGATTGTATATGTTAAATTTTATATTATATTATATTATATTATATTTTTTTATATATGTATTATATTAATAAAGATATTATTTAATATTATAATTTAAAAAATGATATATTTATATGTAATTAAAAAGTAATTTTTTTATTTTAACTTTTTGTTTTAAATTTTTTATTTAAATTAATTTTGTAAAAATGATGTACGCTTTCATGTAACATCCTAATTTGCTTTTATCCTTTTCGACTTTTTTAATTTATTACTTAAATGAATTTTTTAACAAAAAACTTATGAAAAGAAATGTCAAAATTATTCATATTATGGGTTCCTACTCAAATGAGATATTCACATAGTACCCAATAAACTTTTTTTTTTTTATGTTTTTTACTTTATTTTTTTGTTCTTTCCATTCTTATATTAAAATTCTTTTGTAAAAAATTGAATAAAAGTATCCACCCGGCAACCATTTTCTTTTTTCATTTCATTTTTTTTATTAATTAAATAAATTTTCCAATAAAAAGTGTCAATTGATAGATATATTAAAATAATCCATATTTGATTGATTTTAATTCATCTCAATCTAATAAGAGTTAACAAAATAACTCGTATTTAATTGATTTTGATTAATCTAAATTCAATGTGTATATTTTTTTTATTTGAGATCAAATTGAAATTTTTTTTCAAGAATTAAAATCAAGTCAAAGGTAAGTTTATATTCCTCCGTCTTGTTTTGGCTATGTAGGTTAAATTATATTTTATATTATATTAATTTATATTATTTTTATATATTAATATCTTAATTTAAGAAAAATGATATTTTTATATATAATTAAAATGTAATTTTTTTATTCCAATTTTTTGTTTAAATTTTTTATTTAGATTAATTTTGTGAAAATGATGTACATTTTCATGTAACATCCTAATTTGCTTTTGTCCCTTTCAGCTTTTTTAATTTTTTACTTAAATAAATTTATAACAAAAAATCTATAAGTAGGAATGTTAAAATAATTTATATGGGTTTTTATTCAAATGAGATATTCATATAGTACCCAATGAACTTTCTTTTTCTTTTTTTTCTTTTAATTGTTTTTTGTTCTTTCCCTTTTATATTAAAATTCTTTTGTAAAAAAATTGAATAAAAGTGTCCACGTGATAGCTACTTGCCTTTTTTTCATTTCATTTTTTTATTAATTAAATAAATTTTGTAATAAAAATCAATTATTGATAGATATATTAAAATAATTTATATTTGATTGATTTTAATTCATTTCGATATGGTAAGAGTCAATTTTTTAAAAATCAAGATTAAGTTGAGACAAGTTGAATTTTTTTTAAAAGAAACGATATTAGGTTGAAAACATGTTTATAATATTTTATTTTGATAAATTTTGAAGTATATATTACATAATTAATTTAATTTTAGACATATATAATATATTAATAAAATTATTTTAATTTTAATTTAAGAATTTTGATATTTAAAACTTAATATAAAGTCACAATGTAACATCCTTTATAACCTTTTTCTTTCGGTTTTTCATTTTCTCTTTTTATTTTAAATTTTAAATTTTAAAATTTTTAATTAGATAAATTTTATGAGAAAAAAATAAATTAAAGTATTTAAGTTTCATTCTCATTTGACTTTTTTTTTAAAATTTATTAATTAACTAATTTTTTTAAAATAAATATGATAAATACAGATGACAAAATAAAAAATTTTGATCCAAGCAACGTGCCGGTATATTTCTAGTGTTTCGTAATTTTTACACATTACCTATTCACATTTTACTGAATATTTAAAGGTAAAAAATTAAAAAAACTAAAACAGAGAACTGAGAAATAGGGTGCTACTTAACTGAGACCAAATCACAGTGTCGAAGGGGACACGATTTTAAGCGGATTTCCACTTGAAAACATGGTAAGTTTGGGAACACGTGGTTTCTGAGGAAACCCTTTTGTCTGAATGAACACTTCTTTTTACTCTACTTCGCAGACACAAACATAATGAGAGAAACACGCATTTTTGTTTTTATTTTTTTCCTTCTTCCTCTTTCACCTGTCGCCGGAAGTTGCTATGAGACTTGTAAAAGAAAAAATGGAGGACAAGACAACTGATAATTGGCTAACACCTGGCTGGAAAGTGGAGGTTAGACAAAGAAGGAATGGCAAAAAAAGATAAGGTAAGTGTAAATTGGTTATTCAGTTAATAAAGAAAACCCAGTTTCAAGCTTCTGTTTTTTGCAGCTATTTTGCTTCATATCAAGGTTTTGGCTTTAGAAATCAAGAAATGTAAGATCCTTGGTCTTTATTTGGTAACGGCCCTTTATGCCATTTGTATTTGCCTTTATTTGGAGCAGATGCAAAGCTGCAAATAAAGAGGATGATTTTCTGTCTTCTACCTTACTCTTTCTTCTTGGAAGATAAAAGGAGATCAAATGATATTATTTTCAAGTGAGGGGGAAACGCTTGTAGTTGTTATGCCTTTGTTTCCCTAATCTTTAGTTATTAGTAGTTTCTTTAGTATGACACATTGGATCTGCTAAATACATCATTGTTCTTCCCCGCATTCAAATGTCTTATACATGTTTATTTGTTTTGGCATAGCAGTACTTCTGAATTTCTCTTCTTGATTTCTGAATACTAGTTGAGAGTTATGGTGGATGCATTAAACAAATAAAACGTCCTGTTACCAACAACTGTGAATGCAAGATGATTCATTCAAAGCTTAAGTGACATTTGGGCTTATTGCAGTGTTACCATGCTCCCTGTGGCGAACTTAGATTCATATCCAGGGCAGAGGTGTCTAGCTATCTTGACAAGTGTGGTTCTAAAACAGAAGAGAAAGAAAAAGGCTCTGGCAAGCAATCTTCAAAAATGTCTGCTGATGAAATCTACTCTTTGCCTTTTGTTTATAACTTTATATGTGTATGTTGATTTTTGCAAAAATTTGTTGACTAAAGAAGAAATTTTTTTATTGTTCAAGCCATCTAGGTTATAGTTGAGAAGGGTGCAGAAGAAGGGTTACCTCCCGGATGGATTAAGGAAGTAAGGATAACAAAGAGGGCAAATAGAATTGGAAAAGATCCGGTACTAAGACTTTTTTCTTATGGTTGTCTATATGCTTTCTAAAGAAATTTTAGCAGTATTTTATTGTGAGCATCCTTGTCCTTTCATATTCATGGAAGTTGATTGTCCTGGTCTGGATCTTTCAGTTATTTTTCTTTAAAGTTGATTAGTTGCACTGCTGGCCACTGTTACGTTAATTGATATTTAATTTCTGCATCTTTACATGGATCCTGCGAGTGGATTTGTATTTAGTTCCATGAAGGATGCACTTCTTTATGTTGGTCAAGCCTAAGGACAAAGGCAGCATTGATGAGGACTTGGAAGAAGATAATATCTGTGTATGTATAATCATGTTTGGATTATCCAAGTTTCTATATTTGCATTTCTCCGTTAATTCTATATGAAACTTTCGTTATCATTAGCTTCTCTATCTTTTTTAATTTCCCCAGTTACATTTATCAGTCAATTGGATTTGTTTATCAGCTGTACTCTCTTGCCTTTGGTCATTTCAACTATACTCTTGCCCAAGTCTTAGGATGATGAGCATTGATAATGAAATGCCCACTTTTGCTTTAGAAAAATTAGGATACACTTAACTGAAGTTTCTCCTTGAACAATTAAGGATTCACGATTTATTGGTCCCACCCTGCCTGCAGTAGACAGTTGCAGTAAGAAATCCATGAGACAAAGTACGTGCATTTCACTCATAAAGTTGAAGATCAAGTTAATGTCTTATTACAGGTTTTCCTAAAATTTAAGTTGTCTTGTTTGGGGACCATTGCTTTGCCTTTCTCCTGATGATCGGATTATGATTTGTGTGTGTGTGTGTGCCCCTGGATGTATACATATATGTCTATGTGTGTAATTTATATTCATTTTTTATTGTACACCTTGGATGCATACATTTTGGATGAATATAATTTGGATGAATATAATTGTACATATTTAGAGTATAAATTATGCGATTCTAAGAAATTATGGTTCGGCAAGATTTCTAATGAAAGCACCTAGGTTCCAAGTTGGTCTGCAACTACGCCAGAAGTGATTCCACATTTCAAGCTTTCTTGATTGAAGTATTTTTTTTCTTGGACTGCCCTATTTGAGTTTTCTTCACCATCTTGTCAGTCATTTCTGTTGAAGTCCTTAATAGGATCATACAGTTACTAAGAGACCAGCTTGTGCTGCTTGATTTTACTTCTTGTCTCCGTGAAATGATAATAGTTGTAGGAATCCAGTTGCAGACTTGCAGAAATACATCAAGAAAATCTAAACAGACAACACGTTAAAATGAGATGGACTAAAGTTGTTTATCAGATCCTTTTCATCTGGTTAATCTTTATTTTTAGGGTTCTGCAGAAATTCATGTATCCAAAATCTTGAAACCATCCTACAATGCCTATTGAAGGTGATCAACCTCTGGAGTTGGCATCTAATTTATATATGTATAACCCTTCACATTCAAGACTGAAATAACCAATCAATTCAAAGATTTGCCTTCGTCCCTAAATTCGTGTATGAGGCAGCATTTATATCTTGTCCCTCCTCAAGAAATCGATCTCAGTTGGCTTATCTGGATATAGATTATGCAAAACTTTGACTTGGTCTTCATTTTTAATTCCTCTGCCCATTAGGATCCTACCATTGTCAAGAGACAGAATGTAGCTGTGGATGAAACAGCTGATGAAATGGAGAGACTGTGTACAGAACAGGTTTCAAATTTGAGTGGGATAACAAAGGAAGAAGAGATGCTTACTTCTGCCATTACAGGAGAACAGACATCCCTCTCTAAACACGCTACTGATCAGCATAAAGGTTTAAATTTGCGATCCCCTGAAACCTGATTAATGTTATTATTTTTTCCTATTAATCAATCTTGTCTCTTCATTCTTCATTTTGCTTTACCTTTTATATTCTCATTTTTTTGGAGGGGGATTCAGAGTTCTATGGTATTATTCTAATGAGATATGATCCAAACAAATCAATATAGAGTGTTTGGTGAAGATCTAATCGAACAAGATATATCATTTAATCTTTGGCAATGGACTATTTGGTGCTGAAATTTGGGGGTTTTGGGTTCCACTGATATGCTTGTTGATGACATTGGATAGGGTAATGCATCTAATCCAACTTCTCTTGCATGCATCAGCTGGAGTAGGTGCTGAATTGAGCAGCTTGATCTTGTCTGAAGCTAAGGGCACAGAACAATAGGAGGAAAAGATTCTAAAAAAGGTGTACCTGCTTCAGGCAATGTAGTTGGAATCCTCTTTGATAAACAGTCTAGAGAAAATGGGATGACAAAGGGTGAAACTGAACAAACGTAACAGCGGGCAAGACCAAGCTTAAAAAAGCTCTTAATATTCCTTGACGAGCTTCAAAGTGACTTGCTGGAGTTGCCCTTAATCCAACACCAGAACTAGAAACCACTAGAGCTTGCCGATCTTCAACTAAATAGTTAAGTGAAGTACCTGATGCAGCTGAGAATTCTTCTCCTGATGGCTATATTCGTGAGGCCTCCAAACAGCCTGAACAACTTGAGTCTGCTCTGGAAACAGGCTATGCCCTTGATGTTTCTAAGACTAAATAACTGATACTGGCACCAAACAACATGCTTCTTCTGGGGACATGCTGACAGTGAATGGTCATGTTGGGAATTTAGAAACGAAAACTAAGGGTGATGAAGATAAATGTGTTTTGCCTCTGGTGAATGCTGCTATTCCAGGAGTACATTCTGGAAAGTCGAAAGTGATGATAAAGCTAGTGAGGTGCCAGGATCCCTTGTTGATATGCCTATTAGATTTGTGGATAGATTCTTGCATTGAATTCGCCATTCAAATTCTCACTGGAATACCCTGTGATAATCCAAAATTCTGAGTTGAGCAGTAGTAAAGGTCCAGGGATTCTGGCTACTCCAGAAGTTCCTGCTGAGAGGGAAGAAAATGGAAACAGTAGAGTTGAAAGACTGGATGTGATATGGATCTGCCTCTAGACAGACCCAGCTATTTGGAAAGAACATACTGGAAAGGTTGAAAAATGCCACAAGACTGATGAGATGCCTGGTTCATCCCTTTGACATGATTTTGGCAGATATCTGGTCAGACCCTAGCATCGAATTTGCAATAAAACCTCTCAATGGGGCAATTCCAGTTGAGTCTGATCTAGAGAATCAGGATTATTTTTAGCAGCGACGGAGCTTTTGGCCGATCCAATCCAGTAATAACTTGACCCTGCCAGATGTCCGTATAGATAACTTCTCGCAAACTGATTTCATATGCCAGCAATATGATGTCACAAATAAATCTGTGTAAAGAACATTTTATTAGGAATCCTATATAATTTGTACTCGCTGTGGCAGTGAAGAGGCGACATGAACGCTGAAGGCTATCAACTTCTTTGTATATTTCAGGAAACTTGCTAGAATTTAGAGAAGACTACTAACCTTGTGACTTTTCCCTCAATGTTTCATTGTTTCACATTGCGGTATGATTATTGTTTACCACTCGGGTACACAATTTTAGAATGACGTTTGCATCATTAAGCCCACTAGTTAGCTTGGCAGTGTAACACTGGAATTTGTAATCAGATACTACTAAGTGTGGTGCTGGCATTTTTTCCAACGTTCCTATTGACTGCTATGCATTCTTGATTATCCATTTTTCGTTCTTTTTGGTAAATTGGTGTTCTGTTCTTCATTTCTATTGTTTTAGGAGGCTAACTTGGCGAATTTAATGTGCCCAAATGGCAAAAGAATGTAGCAAAAGACAAGCTTTCACTATGTGGTATTTTGATTCTTAGGCAAAAAAATTGATCTTGGTTTGATTTGGACTACCCTCTGACAAAATCGTAGGAGAGGTCAAAGCATATTCCTAACATATGCACCTTGAGGACCACGACATTTGTGTCTGTAAATCGGTGCCAGATAAAAAAGGTTCCTAATTTTTGTCAAAGCATCCATCAACACACCAACTTAAAACCCGCGACAAGCCAGGTTGCTACTTGCCCCGCCAATTCCCCAAATATCAAATTGAAATTCCTCCAAGTAAAATGTTCCCCATTTTGAATTCTTCAGAGAAGAATTCAAAGAACGAATCCAGATAAAATAAAAAAATAAAAAAAAAAGAATGCAGAACCAGGTAAAGTGTAGCTGTGGAGCAGAGAATTGCCCTGAATTGCGCCTTCCTTCCAAGATTCTCTACAAATCGGACAGCTTAGCTGTACCTTACACAGAAAAGTCTCAACATAAAATCTCCTTTCCATTTGATTTGAACAGGACCATAGTCCATTGTTAAGGAAAAGGCTAATGCTGCACGAAAGCAATCCGTATGAAAATCGTAGACGGTACTTTGGACAATTACAGCAGTTTAGAGTTGTAAAAAATATCTTATTGTCAGGTTTGTCAAATGTATCTTAAGTCTAGTTAAATTATGTCCATGTTCTGAATTGCTGTCTTTTGCCCCTTGATCTTGTTGGATGTAAGCCTTAATTCTTTATTCACTTCATACTGCATGCAAAACCACTTAAAGCATGGATACCAAGTAGGAATGTTGATGGCCAGTACAAGAACTCCTTTCAAATTGTATTCTTTTCTCATATAAAATAGCATCTTTTACAATTAGCATGAATGATAATTGAGAAGCCATTTCAATGGCAACATTGCATGACATTAGTATTATCTGAATTTCACACATCATCAAAACAATAAAAAAGCATAACGTGGAAGAGGGAGGAAAAAATTAACTTTTAATCAATATAAAATAGAATGTGAACCTGATTTATGTACAGAAGCTACAAAAGCAGCTCAAAGCAACTGCAACTTGGTATGCAACTTGGTATCTTTTCTTCTAAGCTCTAAATAGGACTGGTTACACCTGCACGAATTCTCAATGTTTCAGTTCTCTTGCTTCTCTCCATTACCTCCACCAGCCACTCCACACCTTCTTTAATCCCCATCCTGCAGTAAAAAAACTTTAATGATTATTTTTGTAAATTTAAGGGAACTGGATGGTTGTAATGACTGTACAATGCTCTACATAAAACAGGGTCAATGGTACATATTGAATATAAGAGATTCTTACAGCTCAAACTTGAGGAGACACAATTTTCATGAATAAACTTACCCATCAAAAGCAGAAACAGCCTCTAACATGTAAACCCTTTCATCCAACTTTTTAAGATCTAGATATCTGGCAAGTTTTTCGGCTGATACAGCTTCAGAGAGATCCTGCATTGAAGCACACAAGTGTTAAAAAAGAGTGACTGCAATTGACTCAAATTCAAAAGAGATGGAAGAAAATCTTGATCACACTGTTTCTCATAAAGAATAAAGGAAAGCAGATATAACAGTTACTAAGTTCAAGAATTTTCCATTTTGCGGAACACTTTTTCCTTAATTCCTTTCTAAGTTCCAAATAAAGTTCACTCAAGCTGACATGAAACCAGATGTTTCCAAGTCCAAAAACCATAAAAATGCTATAGTAGGGCACTAAAATAAACAAGAATGATACAAGGAGAGATATGTGATATGCAACAAGGTTTCTCATTTCTCATAGAAGCTTTAAAGAAAAAGGGAACAATTTTCAATGTCAACTTTTAATATAAACAAGGATTTGGGGATTTGAGATTAGGACTAAGAGTACCTGCTTGTTTGCTAATATCAGGAGAGGGGCTCCCTGCAGATCCTCATGCCTAAGAACTTTCTCTGGATACAAAATAGAAGGTATTAATAAGTCATTGCATTGCCATCACAAAACCTCACAAGTTATTAAACTGTAGTCAATAGCCTGGCACTATAATAGCATAAGCCCCATGCCCTTAAACAAGTAGATATTGCATACCAAGTGCCAATTTTGAATCTTCAAAACGTGAAGGGCAAGCAGCATCAATTACGAATATTACAGCATGTGCCTCTTCATAGTATTTCTCCCAAATTGAGCAAAGACCAGGCTGGAAGAGATAGGAAAATAATTAAGTTTGCATCACACATTGAGCTTGCTTTGAACATATGTTCTATCCATAACATAAAAGATAAAACTATAAAATCAAATGGCAAGGTTTTAGCATCAAACATTGCAACTGCATATTGTCAGTTTATCTCCCTTAAATACATTTTTCAATAATAGTGGACCAAGGTGCTTTGAGAAGTTCTATTAAAAAATACAGCCAAATTAATGAATGAACTGAAAGCTTTCAATTGGACAAAGCTCAGAAGTAGCATTCAAAAAGCATGAGTTATATGTGCATTAAAATCATCATAGTAAATAATTAAGGAAATATCTATCGTGTGTTTATATCTATAAGCATTTAACTTACCTGGCCCCCCAGGTCCCAGAACACAAGTTTTGTGTTCGATGCTTCAACCCGACCAATATTCAGCCCCACAGTTGGAGCAATTCGATCAGGTGGTAGGCCTTCCAAGTTTGAGTATATTGACTTCAACTTCTCCAACAAAGTCTAATTCAAAAATAACAAAAAAAAAAACAAAAGAAGTCAGTGCTAAAACTTTTAGCAAACATTTCAGTACAGATGAAGCATACAACAGTCATTAGTTATCTGCCAGGGACGAGTAGAAGATTAATTTAAAACCCAAGGAATAAGTTTAGAGACATTACTGTTTTCCCAGCCTTGTCGATTCCAAGAATGAGTACATGAAATTCTGTCTTACTAAATAGGTACTTCCAAAGTCCATAAAAGAGAGAGAACATGTCTCTCTTGTTTACTCTTATCAATTATTTTTTCTTTCCAACCTTGAACACTAAAAATGACCGTCTCCGATTGTCATAATTTACAGTCCTGACTCCTGAAAATAGAAGTGAGTTATGTTACGAGGCAAACAAGAGGAATTAACTGAAGGATTGAAGAGAGCTGAGTCAAATACAAATAACTCAGCCAGTCAAGTGACCTAAAGATTGTTCAAAGTCCTAGTTTTCATTCCTTTTAAGTTATTTCAGTAACAACTCTTATAATCTATTCAAGTTAAAAATAAGCCTGCAAAACCATTTCAGAAGCGTGATATTCAGAAAAATACCTGCAATAAAACAACTTTTGCTTCTTTTTCAGCTTTTCTTATTATTCAATCTAAATTCTCAAGATGCAACTAACATTCAACATTCACTGTTTCCTTCCAAAAAAATTAATGTCCAAAATCTAATCTAATTAACAATTAAATGCACCATAAGCCACGAATGAATCTCTTCAAAAATTTAAATTTTCAATATGTAAGGATATCAAAATAAAAAATGACAATAACGATGAATGAACTAGATCCAATTGAGCAGTTAAAAGAAAAGGCTGAGATCTCATCTCAAAGAACAAAACTAAAAATAAAATTTAACTACGAATCCAGTATAGAAGAAGCATAAAAAAATAGAAGAGAACTAACAGCATTGCAAGATTACGAAAACAAAATAAAAATCCATGACAAGAACTGCCAGATCAAGAGAGAAAATAGTTGTCACATATTTAGGTATAGGAAAAAAAGAAGAACGAAATGCGTAGATCCAAAGACAGACACAGCAAAAGAAATAAAATTTGCAAGAAATTTGAGAAATAATCCTTACTTTCGATGGAATTTAATTGCAGGAATTATGGCTATTCTTGCCGTCAAGCCCTTTAAAATTAAAAAAAAAAAAAGTTGCTGCTTTAAATTTCCGACAAAATATTCTTTCTGTTTTCTTGCCAAATTTTTTCAGGGAGATTTTAGCACCCTATTTCTTACTCTAAGGCCTTTTTTGTAAAAATAAAATTATTTAATTATTTTTTTCTTTTTTCTTTTGAGATCTCTTTCTCCTTTTATGTTTTGGGATTTATAAATTAAACAATTTTAAAAGATTTTAGATTTACATATTCAAACAATTTAAATTTTTTAATGAAATAGTATTTGATATGGATGATTATTTAAAAAATTATAGTAATTAAATCATCATATTTAATAATCACCTAATAATTTTATGTAGAGGTGGTCTTAGATCACTAAAAATGATTAAAGTATTTCATTAGAGAGTTATCAAATTTTCATATAAAAATAAAAGAAACTTTTATTATCAGGATGCAATAATAGGAAACTTTTATTATTAAGATAAAATGATATGTAAAATTAATAAGTTAATATTATTTATTTAATATATGAATTAAAATTTTATTTTTTTAAAATTAATTTTAATTATTTTATATAATATTTTTTTATTTTCAAAATAATATTTATTTTAACATGTTCAAAATTATTTTGTGTGATTTTTTTATTTTTAAATTTATTTAAATATATAATTTTTATTTTAATGTATTTATTTTAATTTTAATTTAATTCATATTAAAAAATTAATTTATTATCATAAATATATTTTAATTTAATAATTTATTATTTTATTATGAAATCAATAAAATATTTTAATATTTTAAATATAATTTATTATTTTTAAATAATATTAAAATTATTAACTTATATAACTACTATAATATGCATGATTATTTTGATATTTTTAAATAAAATAATATTTGAATTTTAGTAATATTAAATATAATTATTTTTAGTTACTAAAAATTAATTATTATTAATCAAATAAAATGATTCAATATCACTAATGAATAAATTATTTTAATAATAAGATCATCTTAGTACTATATTACTATCTTGAAAATAATATCATATATTACCTAAGATAATTTTTTCAATTGATTTTATTTTAAACTTACATGTATTTTTTACAAAAATGTTTGCATTTTTTGTAAATTATATAACTTACTAAATATACATTTATGATAAATTATATAATTTATCAAAAATATATATCTAATAAATTATATAATTTATTGAATTGTATATCTGAAAATTTTAAAATTAAAATAAAAAAATTAATTAAATAATTTTACTTTAAAAAAACTTTTTAAAAAAGTTGAGATATGGAGGAAAAAAATATGAGTGTGTTTATAACCATCCAAAATTTTTTCCCTCGATGCTTCAACATTCATATTCCAGTTTTACCCTTGGGCCAGGTCAGTGGACCTCAAGTCACTTATGTGGCAAAATCTATGTGGATCGTTGGAATTCAGAAGTGTTAGTGGATAGAATATACGTTAAGGTAAGGTATTTTTTATCTTTATTTTTTAATTTTTATATTATATTTATTATTGTATTTATATTTATATTTAATAAATATTTTAAATTTATTTATATTTATATTTTTACAAATATTTAATGAATATAAGTAATTTTCATACTCATAACTTAAAAAAATTAAAAATTAAAAATTAAAAATTTTAACTTTTTTAGTTTTATTTAACATATTTAAATAATTTTTCATAAATATATATTTTTAATAAAAATAAATTAATATTAATTAATATAAAATAATAGATTATATTGTTTAATAAAAAATTTAAATATTAAATAAATAAAAATTATTTATAAAATATAAATACAAAACAAATATCATATTATTCATTCCCATTTTTATATTTAATAAAAATTTAAAATTATACTCATATTCGTCCTCGACATAATACCTTAAAAAATCAGTTCCCCGTGACATCCCGATTGAAACTTAAGACTCTGACGTCAGCGTAAAATAAACCGTAGGTGGCGTTAACTCCATTGCATCGGGATCCAACTGTAATTACGGATAGGGCATAATTGGGAAAAAGAAATAATAAAAAGTCAAGAAATGAGAAATAAAAACCAAAAAAGCAAAAATTTTGCGGAGCTTTGTTAGTCAAGAGAAGCGATCGAAAGGTACAAATTTTTGTCACGAATTCCTTTTTAAATTTCCTTTTTCTTTTCTATGTATTTGAAATTCGTTGGTGAAAAGCGAAAGAAATGGAAATCTTTTTTTTTTTTTGGGATTGTTAATGATTGTTGGAGTTAATTTTGCCGTTTCAAACTTTTCTTTTATTTATTCCTGCATTTTCTCAACAGCCAAACTAAGCTTCATAGCCTGATCCTTGGATTGGATTAGTTATTTCTATATAGTACATTCAATGGATTATTATTTCCTTATTATTCTCCGATTTCGCTCTCCGCTTCATTGTCTTTCTGATTCTAGGTTTAATTACATGCATGTGGTTGTACTTATTACTTTTTTTTTTTTTTGTAATTATGGATATTAGTTGTACAACCTATGCGTATACTTTCAGTTTCATTCTTTTTTGCCCTTGACTCATAGAATAGTTCACTGGCTTATGCACGGTCGATTTTGCATGTAGATGTGTTCTGTCTGTCCTGCTTTTAAAATTTTGGATTGTAAGAGCGATAAATCTTAAATAGTTGGATTTATTAAGGTTTACATTCAGGAATTGAGAATCTCTGTGACTCAACATTGCTAGTTAGAGTTGCGAATGAATGTAGTCCTAGGATAATGAGATTTTTTGCTTCCAGTAATTCTCATGATGATGCAGCTTTTGGGGATTTTCTTTATATTGTATCAGGATAATTTTGTGTAACTTCTTCCTCTCACGGCCACTGTTAGCATTTTCTGTTATTAGGTTTGACATTGTTTTTCTGCAGAGTTTGATTAGTTATGCTTTTTCAGAATTTGGTATTATAACCTCTGCACTTTGCTAGTACCTAATTTCTCAATTTGTATTGCCATCAAATGAAAACAATGTTTACCCTTCAACTCATTCATATTTGATTCTTTCAGTGCCACTCTTATACTTTACATAAATAACAGACAAGACAAGCCTGATTATCGTATGAATCAATCATATCACTTTGTGTTGGATATCTGCATATAACTTACATGCTTCATTTTCCGTATATTAAAGTTTCGATAAGTGATTATGATAATGTTTTAGTGGATCAGGTTAATTTGAAGCTTGCTGTTGGCACTTAGGAGTTTTCCAGATGAAGTAATTCCTAATTCTGCCATATTCTTTTCTTTCCTTTCGTTTTTTTTTTTTTTTTTCTCTTTTGGAAGAAGATGAGATGAGATGTAGGGTTGATTGGTGGTTGTATGTATTTAATTTTTTTATCATTATTCTTGACAGCATGTAATAGGAAGTTATTGCTATATTTGAAGCATTTTCTTGCATTTCTGAACAACCATAATGTCTTCATCTGCAATTCTTAGTTTGTATTTGCCCTATTTAGGTTTCAGCTAAGTAGTTCTAGATGTGACTTTCTTTAGCATATTGGTCATGTAGATTGTTCATTTTAACAGAGAATGGATTGTTCAAATTCCTTAATATTCATAATGTATTTCTATATTTTAGAAAAGCTGTTAAACGTCTCAGTAAATATTTTGAAATAACTGTAGCTGAACTTATTGCCTCAGAAAAAATGGGTTAAATGTGCTCATTTTAGTGTTTTATATTTATATGTATATTACATATATATATATATATATATATATATATGAGCTATACCAAGTGATAATGCATTATGTAGATGTAACACTTTAATGAGGAAGAATATAACCAACTCATCTAGAGATCAGCCTCAATCACTGCCATGAATAGGCTATGGATGGAGATAAAATCCAATTTTCTTGACTCAAGTAGTCAAATATTAGGTTTTTTTTTGTAGTAGTAGTAGTAGTATATTCCCATTTTCATTATATTTGTTCGTTTTTCTGCTTCTTTTTTATTTTAATAGAGTTTGCTACTGAAGAAAGAATTATGGTTTTTATAGTTACATTTGCTTCACTTGTGCTTTGGATCTAATGATTCTTTGTTGGGGTAACAGTAGGCATGTAAGATGGAATGAGGAAAATCTGGGGGAAATTGAAGCAAATAAACCTGTAAGGCTGAAAATAACTGAACCCAAGACGCCATACCACCCCATGATTGATGATGATGGTATGCTCATTAACATTGTGTTTCCTTTATGCAGAAGCCTATTATTTTATGTGCGGATATGTGTGTAAGCATATTAGAGAATAGTGTTGGTCTAGTTTGGTTTTCACTTTATTTCTGCTTTGGGTGAGAGCGTTATTCTGAAAATTGGTTTACATTTCTCACCTTATAGTTTGAATCTTGGTTGTAGGGTCGTTGTCTCCTGTAAGACGTAGTTTCAACGATTGTATCGGTGATGCTATGGATGCAGAGGAATTACGATTTGCTTTAAAGGATGTGGCTTCCTCGAGTAGAAAAACAACTGGGCCATCTGGTGGCTGGACATCTTCTGAGGATGAGGCTGAGCCTATGGATAACAAAGAAGAAGGTTTTTTAACTATTGCTTCTAAGTTGTCCTTTTCCCATAGCATGTTGAAACATGTTTTACTTTCCTTTAATTGGTTAGCTTTTCTATTGACTGCTCTATCTTTCATGAGATAAAAGTAAGAGCAAAAATCATTCAGTGTGAATGGTATAAGGTTTGCCTTAGTAAACAGTCTTTTGGTGGTTAATACCCTGTCTTGTTTTTCCTAGTGAAATTTATTATCTCAAGAATACTTTTTTTGTTTTTTGGGAGGGTGGGAGGTCGGTTGTTGAAACGGTCAAGATTTACCTGCTGTTGTGTCTGGTTGAAAGATTCATGATGTTGAACATTATCATTACAAGGGCTATCGCTACTGAACTTCTGCTTTCACTTAGAGCTTGGAACTTTCCATTGTTTTCTTGTGCTAGTTTCTCTCAGTTCCCATAATCTGTATGATTCTCTTCGTATTCTCTAATGTTTTTTCAATTTTTGAGAAAGTAAACAAAAATAATTACATGTTTTAAAAATCATACATTACCCAGTTCCAAAAACTGATACGGTTCAACACCTCTCATTACCGTCCACCATCCTGGTCTATCTTGCCTCTTTTACATCACTTGTTTACAATTTAATGTCTTGCGTTCAGTCTGTGGTTGATGATTTGTCTGTTGTACTTTTGTCACATTCTGAAACAGATCGGAGTGGTATGAGTTTTAGGAAGCAAAGAAAAGCTCACTATGATGAGTTTTTGAAGGTAAAGGAACTGCGTCGTAAGGCCTCTTTCCTTGAGGACGAAGATGATGATGTGGAGGGTGATTCATCTTCATCATTAAGCTCTGGTGTCAAAGACATAGGCATAGAAGACGGAACTGCAACTTTGCCTCGAAAGTCTTCTGCATGTCCAGCTAATGGATTGTAGAAGTCATTCAACTAGTCTGAAACCTAAAGGTGACTCTTTTGACATCCTTTTGCGGTAGTTTGATGGCATTTTGGGGCAAAGAAAATAGGTCTTTTTTTTTTTTTTTTTTTTTTTCCATATTTGAGTTCACTTGTACATAATTTTCCCTAATTTGGCATGGTTGTGTTGAGTCTTTCGCGCCTATCTTTTGGTCTTCAACACAAGTAAAATGCAAGGTTTTTGACATTGGTTTGCACACTGATTCATATGCTTCGTTGAGATATATATATCTTCGCCACTAAACACCTTTCCTGGGTTTTAAAAGCTGGTCGAGATGGTAAACTGTCATTATGCTGATGAAGGGCAATTTCTCTTTGATGGTTTTCCATGGCTTTTTTTTTTTTTCCTTGCTGTCTTATCTGAACTTAAGATTCAATTAAGGCAGTGCCATATCAATGTCGGAAACTTACTTCTTGTCATCGTTTGCATTTGGATTTGAGAAGGAAAATTTCACGTTAGGGTAACAAAATTTGGCATGGTTAAAAGTCCTGGCTGTATCTCACGTCACGGCAACCGCACGCTTATTCTGAGCACACATCCTTTCTCCACTTGTACACTGTCTTTGTGAAGGCTAAAATAAACGGCTCAAGGTCAAGGTCTAGCAGCAGTGTACCATAGACTGTCTTCTAAACTCTATTAACTCAATTGCCCAGAAACTCTGCCACCATGAACATCGGTAACGCTTCAATGGCAAACACGGTACTCACGGCCCCGTATTAGACCTCATGGCAGCCGAATTGACCTCCACAGCCTCGTAGGACGAGAAATTCTAATGCTAAAGGCCCTGTGAATGTGTCACATCAAGTGCAAAAGAAAATAGACATGTCAGATAAAAAAGAAAAGAATCTTGGACGTATAAACATTGAAGTTGTACACCTCGATAAGTAAGTTTTACAAAAAAAAAGAAAAGTAATAATTACGTGATAAGTAAGTTTTTTTAAAAAAAGAAAGTAATAATTACGTGATAAATGATAATAGAGTCGACTCTTAATTCAGTGGATTTCACGCCAAGTATCCCAGCAGAGGTAGGTAGAGTGGATTAGTTTGGCCACTTAATAAGGTGCTAGGATAAAGGCATAGTAGCACAGTCCTGACCATACCAAGTATTCCAAAAGAGAGCAGGCATTGTTGCAGTTGTGACGAAAGTGTCACGAGATTAATTGGAGAAGAATGTCAGGCTAAGTGCAAAGAAAGTATGCAGGGAGAGGATAATGACCATGTGACACATGCGCATAGCTCGTCCTGGCCTCTCTTCTCACTTTGTCTTCTACATGACCACTCCTATTACTTCCAAAGACCTTATAGCCTCAGCCGGCCCTGGAGGATTCTCCACCGTTGATGCCATATGCTTGGTGGCACCATCCCTCGTTGGTAGTGTTGCAGGTGACTGCTGAGCCTGAGACGGGATCCAGTGTGAAGCATGATAATGTGGTAGCGTATGTACCATCACAGACAAGGGCTGATGATAAGGAGGATGGTGGTGGGGAGCAATCAAGAACGTTGCTGCCTATGCTGAGTGTTTACGAGGGTACCATGTTTGTGTTGTTTGAGACGGTGCACAAGTTGGGTGAGGTTTTGGGAGAGAGTCCTAGGCATACCAATCTTAAAGTGACAAAAAAGTCTGGTACGTATGCACTAAATTTGTCTGTATCTCTAACCTTTTCTGCGCCTTTATGCTTATGTCTGAAAAAAGGAAAAATGGTTGTTGGCAATGGCTTGTAGCTTTAGAACTTGAGTCGCATGACGTTGTTGCTTTTGTGGTAGATGCCCCAGGTTTTTTTTTCGTTTTATTTTCTAAAAAAATAATAAATCAATTGAAGTTATCAGTAGCTTAAAATCAATCAATTAAAATAATTCCAACTTGCTTTCATGCATGGTTATGGGGTCCAACTTAGTAGCTACAAAATAACATAATTAAATTATCGCTATATCGGTGCAGTCAAACTTAGCAGTTATACCTTCCATGAAAAAAAAAACCTTAAGCTGTCAATAACTATTCAACATTATCTCAACTTAATAATTTTTTTTTTAAATTTTGATAAGCTAATTTGTCTATTCTTTAGTTATGATGGGTATCTTCGGTAATGAAACTATGTATTTGGATGATATCTCGGCTTTCTGACCACCCACAGACATACCTAAGAAGTTTTTTCCCTCTCACCAAGTTCTGTTTCATGAGCAAATATTTTGGGAGTAGGTTTTGGTACCCAAGTCTATTGTCTTAATTTTGATTTTTAAAAAAAGTATATCTACTCTTTCTTTTTTTTTCTGAATAAGACGTTCATAGGTGTCTCATCCTAAGGAAAACCTGGGAAAATTTATGTTGGGCAATTAGGCAGGGATGTTAGGAGTGCTTGTGCTGAGCTTTGGGGATTATGAAGGTTTAAATTTAGGCTTATTAGAAAGAAATATTATCAATTGCCAATTCCACCGTGGAAATTGAACTCTGAGGTAGTGTTTATTCAATGATTAGTTGATTGGAAGGGGTGTGGAATATGGATAGATTTTATGCCTTAAGCACAATCATCATTTATTCCTGAGCTAGCTCCAAGCTAATCGATTAGAGGGAATTCAAAATATCAAAAGCACCAGAGCCTATAGCCTGAATATATTAAACTTAATTTGTTTGCCGATTATGCAGGGGTCTTGTACCCCCTGCCTTCCATGCAACCCACTTTAAGGCTGTTTGTTACAGTGATCAAAGTTTAAGTAAAAAATATGAACAAAAACTACATCAAAGTTATTGTAAAACAAAGATAAGGTTATTATCCATTAGACTTGGCACTAAATCCATCATGATCGAAACTTTTATTCATATGTTTAACAAATATATGAACTCCTCAGCTCTAGTGACCTTTCTTCTTCTGCGAAGGTGAAATAGGAGGGATACTTTGTTCATTCTTGAAGAAATTCTCAGGATCAACCATGGTCTTTACATGTACCAATCTGTTGAAGTTATTTTTAAAATATTTGCGACCCCAAATGCTGGCTTGTGCATAACTTGTGTAGCCATTGCTATTAGTTCCAATATCTATATCCCTGTAATTATAATATGCTTCCCGTGGTGATTTTGAGACATAAGTGGCCATGTAACTGTAAAGTCTACGGATCCAGCTAACGTATTTTTGAGATTCTGCATTTTCTTCTTTGGACCATCCCACAAGGTATGAGGCTTGGTACAAGTTGCCAGCTCTATGCGGGTATGGAAGTTCAGTTTCTGGAATTGCATCCATTTTCCCACCAAAACCTACCATCATCATATACGAAACTTCTGCCTCTTTCTCAAAAAACTTTGGCCAAATCCCCTCGAATCCGCTTTGAGGAATAGGTTCCTTCACGTAGTCAGATTTTGCTTTGAAAATTTGTTTTGGAAGAGCATTCCTATCAAGCAAAATATCCAAACTTTTTGTTGAAACTCCACCGAAGTAGAGAATAGACTCAACCCAACTCATTTCGATGCAGTTTTCTTTTACCAATCCGAGCTCAGGAAAACTGTCTTGTATCAACGGAATTAGCTTATCAACCCCACCAAGAAACAAGGCTCTGAAAGCAGCTTGAATTGTTTTCTTCCCTTCTTGACTGGAATTCACCTTTATTATTGTGACATCCGTAAAAAGATCATCAGGAAGCTTGTGTGCAATGTATTGCCAACGATAAACAATTTTGGTTGCATTTTGTTCCAAGTCCCTGTTGACTGTGAAAACAGTCACAACTGCTGGAATGGAGACTAACTTTACTTTCCAAGCAAGAACAATTCCAAAGGTATTTCCTCCACCTCCTCGAATGGCCCAAAATAAATCCTCACCCATGGATTTTCGGTCAATAATTCTTCCGTTGACATCAATTAAGTGAGCATCAATTACATGATCAGCAGCAAGACCATATTTCCTCATCAATATGCCATAACCACCCCCACTAAAATGCCCTCCAACACCTACAGTGTGGCAAACACCAGCTGGGAAGGCAAGAGTTTTACTTTTTTCAGCAATTCTGTAATATAATTCACCTATAGTTGCACCAGATTCAACCCACGCAACTTTATTTTTTGTGTCAATCTCAACTGCTCGAAAATTAAGCAAATCAAGGATGACAAACGGAACTTCAGAAACATAAGAAAGACCCTCAAAGTCATGGCCACCACTTCGAATTCTAATTTGGAGCCCACACTTTTTTGAACAATAAATTGTTGCTTGGATATGGGATGTTTGAAGTGGTGTTACAATGACAGAGGGTTTAGGTGTAGCTGGTGTGGAGAACCTATAATTTTGAATAGAAGCATCCAAAATAGATGAATATGAGGAATTATTTTGCATGTAAATAACCTTTGAAATGGAATCAAATTTTGCTGAATGAAGAGAAAGGCAATGAAGGAAATCCTCATGAGAATGAGCTAGAGTTGTCCCAGACAATGAAAAGAGAACAACTAAAAGAAATGGAAGCAAGGAAAAGTGAGGTGACTTCATTTCTTGAGTTGGTTGAGAACATAGCAATGTGTTACAGTTATCTTATAGCATCTATGTCTTTGGTGGCTGGGGCTCAAAAAATGTGAAACCCGAGGTCTAAACTCTAAAGTCAGCAATTTGCTTACCTTATCTTCTCTGATAATGCTGTTTTATTCGTTTTTAATTGCATAATATTATCCTTTGTAGATTTATCCTCCATCAAATTGTTGATTAATATATGTTATAAATGAAGATAAAAATATTTAAATCTTCTGTACGTGCCTCCACCAAATCGTCGATTAATATATGTTTTAAATGAAGATAAAAATATTTAAGTCTTCAGCGCCTGCCAACTGAGTTGATCGGTTGGCTTGTCTTATGAAATGACTTATATAGTTTGTCTTCTATCCCTTCGTTTGTACTCAAGAAATTTTTTTTTTTAAGTTAAAATTTTTTATGAAATAGATTATATTTTAAAAGAGAAAAAATCTCAACAAATAGTTCTTCCTTTTATAAACTTTTATATAGCTTTCTCAACTTCTTTCACTTCTCTTATCATATCTATAAAAATCTTTTTACAACCAAAATATTAAACTCCAAAAAAGTATGTTCAAATCATAAACTTTGATCAATTCAAGCCACAAACTTTAATCAATGTATTTTTCAAGGAGAAACTCGAGAACACTTTATTACTCTTCAGATCCCAAAAAAAAATTTTTCAACAGTGGTTAGAACAAGGATACACTTATATTTACTTTGGTGCTATCGGAGTAACTTTAACCTTTCATGGTAGAAATGGCATTTTTGGGTGTACCA